ATATATTGGTTGCAGCAGCAAAACATGTAATAGTTATCGTTATAATATTCGCAAATTCTGTGCGCCGATCAATAGTGACTGCTTCGCGCTCCTGTGGCGCCGTGCCGAAAAGATCAAGAGAATAATAAGAAAATATAGCGTAATCTTACGATCTTTTGCTAAAATTAATATACATATATTATAGTTTTCTAAAAAAATGCATAAATTTTTACTACTGTTCCATTTATATTTGACCCATTTCTGTTAATGCAATAATTCTATGTGTGTAACATTCATGAATTTCAGTTTTTCAATTTTTTATCTTCGCAAAAATAGCAGACTAAACGTCAAGATTTATAATAAATCAAACACCAATATATCCTGCAGTTAATTAATTAATTAATATTCAAAGATGATAATGTTCAATTGTATATGCATATGTCAAATACTATTTATTTCAATAAATCGTGCAAATTGACATCTGATATATGGTCCATTAATTCTTTATGCTGCAAAAAGGAAACCCCGAAGCGACTTAGCGACAGTTACAAGTACAAGTTAGCTAACAAGAAGAGCGCTCGAGGCCGATGAATATAGCCGGGATCTCGCTGAGTGGTAGTTTGTAAAAAAATATGGGTCGCAGTGTGCCGCTGTGCCTTCTGCTCGACGTGTATATACACTTCTGTGTAAGGAACGTAATTCGGATGCTATCTCAATCCCGTGAGAGACCTTGGTTTCCAGAGTTCAAACGCGTTTAGCGTTCTAAAGCGCTCTGTTTGTCGGTATATAGATGTGTAATTAAAATAAAATAAATTAATCTGTACTATTTTATTTTGTACTCGCTTTTAATTAGCGGTTAAAGCGGTAAAGCTGATACATTTCTCCAACTTAATTTCAGCTACTATCGTATCTTTCAGTTAATATCCATTATTTTCACGTTACCAGTTGTACGTATCTCACATATACCGTGAGAATATACGGTTTTACTATTTTCTGCAGCTATAAAATATTTCTAACAATGAAGTCACAGTGCGAAACAATATTTTAAATCAAGAGTATTTCGTGAACGAAGAAATTCCATGTGAACAACATATCGGAGCACAAATGTTATAAATTTTTATTTACGAAATAGCCAGAGACAAAAATTGTAAAAACAACAATAACCGGTATAATAACGTTTTTAAAGCAATTTCATGTGATTTATCGAAAGAAAAAGCTACGTATATTCCGGTTTTTTTTTAAATTGTGTCAGATTTTAATCATCAACAAGAAAAAGCGAAAGTCTATATAGTGACGAAAACTTACTTGGAAAATGATGGCTTCTCGTTCAATTTGCGACATATTTTTGAAGATGGTATGAATAATGTTGAGAAACTTCTCTCGATCTATGGAACTGGCCTGATCTTTCTCGAAGAAGTCGATAAAGTCGTATAGAATAAAATAGGTTCCTGAAACAGAAAAATGTGTGGAGATATTAGCAAAATATATAAAAACATTGAGCGAAAAATTATATTTACATATATTTTAATCAGAATATCTTACTAACAATAAATAATACAAATAATTTTTATCGCATTCACATATATTTAAAAAGTTATGATGAGCCAGCGGTTTTTGCGTTTCGCTTACACGTCGTGTGAATGGTTGTCAAGTACCATGCTTGCGCCGCCGCGGTACTTGACAACAGTTTGTTTTGCATTATATTCCGTACTGCGAGATAACAATGAAGATGGATATTCCTAATTGCGTGCGTATATGGTGCACATTTTAGCGCAGCGTTGCAGCTCATTTTACGAAAACATGGTTCCGAAAAACCATATTGTTATTATATGAGTAAATTTAAATGTAAAATGTTTTGATAATTTCTATCTGCATGAAAAATCTTGAAATTTAAAAAATAAATAACGAAGGAAAGAGGACGATGAGAGCGTATGTTAAAAAATATAATATTTTGGAAAAATCTGAATACATCATTTTATAAAGCGTCCGGATAAATTTGTCGTTTCAAACATTTTCCATATATTTTATATAATTTCTATTATACTCGTTTATAATTCAATATATTGAGTTAGCTTCGTAAAAAAATACGCGTCTCTTATTTTCAGCGATTCCACAACGTGTCGGAATATTGTCAAATTCAAAAAAATTCCATATATTTGCTTGTAAGCGTATTTAAGTGATACAGCTGACACTTTGCTCCGACTTAGCGGCTCGCGTAGTAAATCTCGACTACTGGAAGTCTATTGTCCAAAGTGCGGCTTTGTAATTTGCAGAAAAACGCGCACCGAGTTTCAGAAAACATTGGCTTTATTTAATGAAAAAAATTGGTCACACACAGGGTTATTATGCATTCTTAGCTCTGCGGCGTGAAACCCCGGATTTCCGGCTGCTTACGCGCGCACAACGCGGAAACTTCATCCCTCTCTTGGTGAGCAAGTGTGGCCTCGGGCGCGCCACCGTCTTTGAGATCGCACACGAGGGCTTCAAAGAGAGTGCACTTTGGAAAGAAAATGTAGTTTTCTGATAGAAAGAATTTCCTGTTGGGCAATATGCACAACGATAACAGGCAGCCAGCTTCGGCATTTATATTGTAAATATTTTTCGTGTATCTATATAACCGGTTGACGGAAGTACTCTCATATCATTCTCGAGAATTCGTGCAAATTTAAATACCCGATGCAATAGGTCGATGCATAGTCGACGCGTTACATTCGATCTTTCGCAGCACTCGTATTTCTTCCGCTAAGTGTAAATTTAATTGCTAAGCTTTGTAGAGAATGTCTTGAATTAAAAAATTATAAAAACTGGAAATAAGAAGCAATTTAATTTCAGATTTCATTATTTTTGTTGTAGTTTGAGAAGCATTTTAGCGACATTGAATTTTTAACTGTAACTTTAAAAACACGGTCAAAATTATTTACCCTTTTTAAAACTAACAAAAAAAATTAATTTTATTAATAAAGTTGAAAAAACTTCACGTAATTACGTTGGTACTGCTGGTACACAAAGTTTCGCCGGCAGTAAACAATATTTATAATTATTTTAAGATGCGTCATGAATCGCAGCATTATAAAACGGTATGACAAAAGTCGATTTTGAATAAACTTATAACAAATATAATAAATTTATGTATCTCCTTCCGCAGTACATTAATCATCTCGGACATCTGTCGTCGAGTGCGCTAAGCGAAACCCCTCCTTGATTAGGTATGAGCCTTTGTTTGTGGCCGAGCTTCTGTCTACAATCATGCCGTCGAGACTAAGAATCAAATAGTCCCGTTTAATGCTAAATGCGAGGTCCTGAATACAGCACAGCGTTTACTGTACCCTCAATTATACGGGCAACAAAGCACACCCGTTTTGCATTTCGCTATGGGCTATCCCGCACACGTTTTAACGGCACCTACACACCTCCGCGGACACAATCACTTTTAGTGTTTAACGCATTATCTTCGTGTGCCAGAAGCTTCTTTCCCGAGAGATAAATCGCTTTAATTAAAAGGCAGAGACACTATGGGGCTTTACCACATGTGATAAACTTTAAGATCGCCTAAGAAGTAGAAATTGCCAACTATTATGCGCTTGCAAAAGAGAATCATTTAATCTTCCAACCGGAGATTTTTCCTGCAAGATTTAATTTAAACACATTCTTACTATATTTGCACTTTATTCTGTGTCAAGGTTCTCATGTTTAAATTTCTTGGCTCATCGTACGCGAATAGTGGAGATTTTTTCTTTGAAAATTTGAGATAGTAAAATTTGTCTTACACGATCGCTTGACGGTGACAAAATCATTCATCATACTTGATTCACGATCGAACAATTTGAATAGATTTGCATACAAATTCCCTTCGGGGGAATGTCAAATTTCCATGTATCCAAAATCGAAAGATTTAAATATTTCCCCGTAATCCCATGGTACAGCACCCATAGCGATCTTTTATAACCGATGGTGATAAAACATGTTTCGCATTCATAGTCGTAAATCAAAGTATTTTCTGCATATCTTTATAAGCGAGAGCTTTCTCTCCTTTTCAGAATAAATGGGCGATATGGAATGATGTTAGAGAGTAAAGCACACACACACACACACACACACACACACACACACACACACACAACGTAAACAACTGAAAAGGGAATATATTACGTACGTACCAAACAATACCAGATACAAGCCAGAAAAAAGAAAAAAAATATAAACGGACAATAAAGGAATTAAGTTTTAACAGAATAAAGCGTGTTTTTAAAGCGTGCAATAATGAAGAAATCTCTTTATTCATCGCGCATTTCAATTGCTTTCCCGCAGAAAATTTTGGCACGCCGAAAATTTTTATTAATAATCATAATTTTATATTTAACATACGCGTGACATAAAAACATTTCAAAAAATTTAAATAATAAAAGAACTTAAGTTAAAATTTATTTTGCTAGAAAATTTTTTGGATAAAACGAAAAAATGATTAAAAAGTGGCTCCAAATTTTGATAAAACAAAAAAAATAATATAAAAATTCTGAATATCGTGAAAATAAAAGATATTGACATTTATATTATTCGTTAAAGCGTCGGATAATTTGTCGTTTTACTTTTTGATAACGATCCGTATGACAGAGATATGAACGTACGACAGAGATATGAAATCGATAAATTTTACAATAAAAGCACTAATCATTACTTCTTTTTCATCCGCGTATTGAATAATGGATGTGAATACGTATGACGGTTTTAACGAAATATTCCACAAAAAATTTTTTTTATAAAGTTAAAAAAAAATATAACAAATGTACAGAACTGCGTGCAATCAAAAGTTTAAAAATATCAATTACAACATGTATAAAAAAATATTTTCGAAAAGTATTTTCGATCGCATGTAATCACACGCACAGTAAGTGTAAGCGGATCACACGTACAAACGAGTACATTACTGGATAAACAAACGAGGCGGTCGTCGAACTTGTTCCAGCTTCTTAGTCGGCGCTGTCGAGCGAATGCGTTCGGGGAGATTGTAAATTCGATTACAGTACGATTGAACGGCAAAAGAGATTGATACGTTACATTCCGCCACAACTAGATGTACAAACTGGAAATTACTAATTAACATGTCGGGTGCATGCGAGAACACTTTAGAGTTAAATTATAAGTTCTCGAGTGCGCATGTACGCCGGCATTTCAATCGCTTCGGGAGAATTCCCAGGTGCATCCCGCTGCAGCTGAATAATGGCACATACGCGATACTTTCTAAATAAACGGGCGTTTCACAGTCTCTCTACCATACGTAGCAGCCCTTTTGGGAATTTACTATGTATGTAGAAGTTCCCATGCGTGCATTGAACTTAATTCGAGACATCGGAACTGTGCGACCTTCTCGCACGACTTGCGTATTGTATTATTGACGTTCTTGCGATATTAAAACGGAAGTATTAAATATACATATGTATATTATTCCCCGAAAAATTAATAAAAAAGAGACGCCAGATGTACGCGCCTGTCGAAAAAAAATGGTTGTACAAAAAAATGTCGCTTTAATACATCAAAAAATTTCGTGGAATATTTCACAATTTATGTACATAAAGAACATGCACGAGCAACATAGTATATAAATTCGTCGTCGATAGTAAGAAACTGAATATGCTGGCTGTATTTATGACAAATGAGCGAGAGTACGTATCATTGCGCGATCTTCCATGTGAAACACGTGCGCGGGACGTGCGTAAAATTTATTTCTTCGAGAAACGGCGGAATCCCGTTTAACGTCTGATGCAGACGACGCATATCGCGGCAGAGAGAAAAAGCGAGAGAAGGAAAGAGAGAGAGAGGGTGAAAGACACATGATCTTGCGAAGAATGCTGATCTTTTTCCCTGGTTTTTTTTATCACTGCGTACGCGAGTGTTCCAGAAATGTCGTTCAGTTTACCGGAAACTGCTGTAGTAATATTGCATCTGACAACAAAGCTGTAAACCGAGTTGATTCGCCCGGGGTAGTTTTTGTTTTGGAACTTCGGTTTCCCGGGTTAATGGATACTTCGGGCGAAAGAGACACAGGACCGGGCTAACAAATCGACGCGTCTAACGAATACGGCATTGCATTGCCGTGGTTTTCAATGTGAAAGGAAATGGCGCCGATAAATAATTCATTCGCCGACGTGCTGCAAATACGCTAAAACAAAGGACTGCAATTCTACTCTCGGGCCCTTCGCGCCTTCAATGCATACACGATGTCCCAGATGTAGTGAATCTTTCATTCAGTTTCTTTTTGTAACCAATTCGGAGTCGGTGTTTTGCTAATTTTATTTTAAGGAAATTATCGCTAAATATCGCAAATTATTAATTTCCTACATTTAATATCTCAGTAATCAGACATGTGTAATATCCTCGCAATTTAGATAGAATACCGAAAATCGTTCTATTGCTTAATCGATTCACGGTTCAATTGAATTCACGGTCCAAA